CAGCAGTCCGTTCTCAACCCTCAAGGAGTCCCACTGTGCCCATAATGCCTTAAGTGCTGGGCTCTTGTCCGATATGATCTCCCAGCTAGGTCTTAGGTTTCCGTTTTCCTTTGATTCCAAAATTGGACCGATATTCAAGTCTTGTTGCTGGCTGGCTCTGCAGCTTGCAGGGGTCCACTAGTCGCTCGGTACCACAGTCGTCCCTCTCGATGTCGCCTCGCTCTCATTTTTATCAATTTTTTCGCAATGCTTGCAACTTCCGCAAGGTCTTCTGGACAGCGCATCCGCATTGTGATGTCTTTTCCCAGGCCGGTGTCTAATTTGAAAATGGTATTGCTGCAGCTTTTCCAACCATCTCGCCACCTGGCCTTCAGGATTTTTCATCTGTAGTAGACATGTGAGTGCGGCATGATCGGTCCTAACCAAGAAATCTTGCCCATATAGATACCTGTGGAAATGTTCCACTGATCTGACTATGGCCAAGAGCTCCCTTCTTGTAGCGCAGTAGTTTCGCTCAGGTTTGGTTAGGATTTTGCTGTAATATTCGATCACTCGCTCTTCTCCATCTTGAACCTGAGACAGGACGGCTCCAATACCGCTGTTACTGGCATCTGTGTCCAGTACAAATCTCATCCCAGGTTGGGGATACACCAGAACTGGACTGGAGCATAGGCCGCCTTTCAAGGTCACGAATGCGCTCCCACAATCCTGATTCCAGTGAAAGGTCGATTTCGCCTCTGTCAATCTGTGCAACGGGGCAGCAATGTCTGCAAATCCCTCTACGAACCGTCTGTAGTATGTGCAGAGTCCAAGGAAACTTGGCAGTTCGTGCTTGTCCTTTGGTTTGGGCCAATCCCTGATAGCAAGGATCTTGCTCTCGCTTGTCTGGATCCCCGTCGCAGACACTGTATGGCCCAAAAACTCTACCTTCTTCTGGAACAGCTGGCACTTCCTAGGATTCAACCCCAAATTCGCCGCCTTGAACCAATTGAAGATCTCTTGCAAATTTTTAAGATGTTCCCCGAACGTCCTGCCCATAACCATTACATCATCGAGGTAGACCAAGCAAGTTTTCCATGTTAGTCCCCTAAGTACGAGCTCCATCAGCCTTTCAAAAGTAGCCGGCGCGTTACACAACCCGAAAGGCATCACTGTGAATTGATAGAGCCCATTCCCGGTACTGAATGCCGTTTTCTCCCTGTCAGCCGGATGTACGCCTACCTGCCAGTATCCACTCTTTAGATCCAATGTAGAGAACCAAGATGACCCCGCCAATGTTGTCAGAGTGTCATCGATCCGGGGTAGAGGGTAACTGTCCTTCTTGGTAACCTCGTTCAGCTTTCGATAATCCACACAAAATCTTGTAGACCCATCTTTTTTTGTTACCAGAACCACGGGTGAAGACCACGGACTGTTGGATTCTTCTATGACTCCATCCTGCTTCAATTTATGCAACAGCCCTACTACCTCGTCTCGTTTTGCCATTGGCACCCGTCTAGGAGGTTGCCGGACTGGCCGAGCATTTCCGGTATAAATCTTGTGTTGGACCAAGTCTGTCCTTCCCAACTTCCCATTACCAGTAGAAAAGGCATCCTGATTTTTCTTTATAAATGCACGAGCCATCCGAGCTTCATCCTCTGTCAGGTCTTTCAGGTCTATATCCAATTTTGTCTGCCCCACCCTGTTTACTCTACTTTGGCAGTTAGTTCCTTCTGTCGTGGCGATCCTCGAGATTGGCGAGCAAACTGCCAGAAAGTCTCCCTTCCTGATGCTGATTCCACTCGGAAAAACGTTGGCCAGTCTAACTGGAACTTTCTTGTCGGCGGTCTTGACAATAGCCCTGGCCACCAAAAGGTTCTGCCTTGCGTCACAAGTTGGCTCAATCAAGCCAACACCACTCCCAAGGGGTGCCTCGGCAACCGTCATGATAACCCCTTCGCAGTTTCCACTGACACACCCATTTTCACAGGCGAAGAGTCGGACGCCTTCACACTTCTCACCCTCTGTTGACAACACGAAGCTTTCGTCGCCTAAACTTAGGATACCCTGTGTTGGGTCGAACGTGAAGCCATGCTCCCGGATGATGTCCATGCCAAGAATAAACTCATCCTCGATATCTGCCACCAGTACTCTATGATCGAAACGGGTCCCCCCCAAACGGATATCCACATCAAGCTCTCCTTCAATTGGTGCAGTATCCCCCGTGACGGTCCTCAGCATCATTTCTCGATGCAACGGCCTCGGCGCAGTTCTCAGCGCATCCTTTCTTATCAAGGAGACCATCGCTCCGGTGTCAACAGTTGCTTTAATTTTTTTCGAGTTTACAATAATCTCTATCATCAGCGTGTCCCACGCCCTCCTCATTCTTTGGATAGAGACGATCTTAGGGACTGCGTCCACTCCTGCCAACGGTCGCCCCTTAGCGCTGGCAGATTTTAGTTTTCCTGCTGCTGTTCGGTGGACAACCTGGAAGTGCATTGACTTTTCAGGTGGCCCATTTTACCACAGCGGAAACAAGGTCCAACCGGTCTTCTGCGATGTTTAACAGCTTCTTCCAACTTGTCCAATCTTTTGATTATTTCTTCAATCCCAGAATCTCTAGAGCCCCCAACGGCACCGTCTTCCCCTGTCAACTCAGATTTACGAACCCTGGGTGGCCCTGAGTCGCTGATCTTAAATGCCGCGTCTATTTCTAGCGCGCGAATCAGCGCCTCTCTTGACGTGTTGAAGGAGGTCAGTCTCAATGTCTTCTGCACCTCGACATTCCGAATACCCTCGATGAAAGTCTGAGCCACCCATTGATCGAGGAAATCTATCGGAGCGCTGGGGTATGCCATCAGACAAAGTCTCTTCAGGTCGGCCTCGAATTCCTGTAGGCTTTCCCCCATCTTCTGCCTTCTCAGCTTTAGTTGGGATTCGAATACGTGTCTTGAGTGCTGATCCCCAAATTTCAATTCTAGAGCACTTACCAAACTTACGTAACTCCGTTGGTCCTGCTCTGGGATTGTCTGAAGCAGGTCCAATGCTGGTCCCCGTAGAGCCACAATGAGATTTATTGCCCTTTCGGCCTCTCCCCATCCATTGTTGAGGGGAACTGCCTCAAATTGTCTCATATAATTCCCGAAGGAACTCTGTCCGTCGAAGGTTGGTGGAGTAATTTTTAATACTGCAGAGGCAGTCCCAGCCACAAAACCTCCATTACTCTTTAGACGAGCCAGCTCATCCTCAAGCCTCTTAAACTCTCCCCTCCTCTCATCTACTTCGCTCTCCAAAGCGATATTTATCTCTCCCATCTTGCTGTCCAGGGCAGCCAGTTCCCCCTTGAGCTCCACCCTTATCCCCGACAGCATTTTGGCCCATTTCTCCTCTTTTTCCTCTCTTCGCTTCAGCTTCTCCTCCTTTTCTTGTTCTCGTCTCCGCTCTTCCTCCTCCTTTTCACGCTTCAGCTTCTCCTCTTATTCTTCTCTTCGCTTCAGCTTCTCTTCCCTTTCTTGTTCTCGTCTCCGTTCTTCCTCCTCCTTTTCTTGCTCCCTTTCTTGCCTCATAAGGCCCATGAACTGCTTCAAAAGTTCTTCTGAGGCCATTTTCTGTCCTCTGGTCTCCACAGGCATACAAACATGGTGGCAACTATCTGGTTCCTTCCAGAGCCTCAACCCCGACTCTCCACCAGATACTGCCGGTCAGTCCACTAATAAGGATCCCACTTCTGACACCAAATATTGCGTGCTCTACCCCTCTTAACGCTTCCTTACTGTGGCTGACCCTTTGGACCGTTGGCCTTCCCTACACTACCACCTAGGAGCCACGCCGCACGTGAAACTCCCCTAACCTCTGGCAGTATCCGTCAGCCTTACCACGGGTGGGGGGACAGTCAGGACTGACCAGAGGCGCAGCGATGTGTTGTCGGAAGGAGAGTCACGACCGCACAACGCCGAAGAACAAGGGAGTTCATTAAAACACTTTATCTACATTATAGATGGTCGCAATATCATATAACAAGTACTTTACATAATACAGGTGGCAGGATGAGGCCGGAGGAGGAATCATGCACAGAACCATTTATTACAGGGGATGACGAAGGAACAGGACTAACAACAGAGTCAGAGCAGAGAAACGCCGCATAAATCCATGGCGCCACCTATTGGCCACTTTTAGAACTATTTTCTAACGCCATGCATGCCACACTATCATCACCAGCAACTTGATGTTATATAGACATTTTTTAAAGAAAATATTTATAAATATAATATATCGCACACAAAACAAATTAAATAATGCTATTTAACATTTATATACAGCAGAACCCCCCTGTAAAGGACACCTAATAGCAGAACCAAAGTATCCTTCAGGTAGAGGTGTCCTCCTACCGTATAGTTACTAAATTTATAAAAATGGTAATTTATTGGAGGAAAACTGTCCTTTGTGGAGAGGTGTCCGCTAGTGGGGTGTCCGCTGAAGGGCGATTCTACTATATATCGTATATATATTATTGCACCGCCCTGTGGGGTTGGATTCATGTCAATATTCGATTGGTCCCTATCAATTTCATAAGCGAGATCAGAAAGATTTTTTAATCATAAAACAAATTCATTCTAACAAGGAAATTATTTACAAATTTCGCCAGATCTCAAAATACAACTGATAAATATATAGAGAGATTTTATAACCCAGGTTCCTGGAGGGCAGAGCGAGATATATATATATTATATAAAAAAATATTTTCTGCTGTTTTTTAAATATTATTTATAGAATTATTGATTATTTGCTTGATCCTGGAATTCATGAGTATGTGGTATTGCATTAAGGCGTAAGAATAAAGAAAATAAAATACATATTTACATAATTACAAATGAAACAACACTTAAAGTTACCGCATAAGTTTCTTTTCTGTGAAAAATCAATATTTATTTCAAAGAGAAATATTTACTATTTCTAACTTTTTTGGATGAAGTATGAAAGGGTGAAAATATGAAGAGTAATGGCGAACGGAAAAATAAAAGTGTCCAGGGGCGGGAATCGAACCCACAACCTTCCGCTTACCGGGCAGATGCCATGTCCACTTTGAGCCGGCCAACGGGAAACAACAACAATGGGTTATATAAAGGGAAAGCGCGACCTATGGCGGTCGATTTAACGAGTAATTTTTATATAAATTTTATTTTTTTAAATATAAAATAACAATTTATATGATATATATATTTCCAAAAGATAATTCTGACTTAGCGTCACGTGACTGTTAAAAATAGATCACCACATATCATTCAGTGACATTATTCGAATAATAATTAATTTATTCTCCAATTATAAGATTGGAAGCACGCAAAAAATTATCAAGATACAAAAAGTACCATTCTTCTATTTGCCAATAGAAATTGAAATGTACAAAAATATATATAGAATTCATACCCATATTGTGAAAAGGATATATATTTATATAGACTTCCAATTTAAATTTGCCTCGGGATATTTAGACAAAGAATCGTTTAATGAGTTAGGAAAGTAGAACAAGAGAGACTAATTGCTATTTAAAATAGCTTTTCTATAATATAAAGTCACACCAACATCACACATACTATAATATACAATATAGAAAAAAATGATTTTATATTTGAATTTTATTCGAATAAATATATAATAAACAAGTGTGATACTATCAACTTTTTAATATTTATAAACATTTTATTTGAAATATATACAAAAAGGAATTAGTGGTGAAACAATTTTGAAAGAATTTCTATATTTGTAGTGAAGATATAGATTTGCAAGTCAAATGTTAGAAATGCCGCAGGTAATTTGCAACTGTTCTCATCTACCATTTTATTGTACTTAGTTAAATATTTGTTGAAGTTTCCTTTGTTAATATCTATTTTATATCAATATATAGATGTTTATATTTATTTAAATATAAATATATTTACACTCAAAGACAAACCTTGAGTAAATTTCGTATTTTAAAGTCGCCGGTTTTCTGATGTCAAATATTAATTAATTATTTATAGCTAGGGAACATTGAATGACTAAGCTATTGAACAGGTATGAAGAATATACACTCATGGACATAACTTAAGGAAGTGGAAAGCCTTTAATGACACCGGTCATCTGTCTTCTTGAAGTAGACAGAGACAATTTTGTTTACACTTGGTTATCTCGTGTGTCTTCAATGAAGGTCACTGTGTATCAAATACCTTACAAAGTTATTGTCTGAATACCAATATATATACTAAAAGGTACAATTTCTTTAAGTATTTTCCATGAGTTTATAATCTCAATATAATATATAAGGAAAAATCTTTATGGATCAGAATTTATAAAAATATCATACTTGTTTAGTATTTTATATATACATTTTAACTTAATTCTATTGACGTTATGTGGCGCTGAGTTTGTTGTTGACACACATTAAAATGTTATAATACCTTGATAAATGTTGTCGTTCAGCCAACTGAAATATTGTTAAATTAAATGATATATTGATCCAATATATGCCTTTTTAATTATATATACATATATTAAAAATAAAGAAGGCATCTCCTGACCACGAGCACATGTGCTTTTTAGATGGCAGAGCGCCATCTAGTGGATTAAAAATAAACTAAACGTTTATTTAGCTTGCTCCGAGATATTTGGCCAACCCAAATTCTTGATAAATAAAGAAAAGCCATCCACGAAAGCGTTTCGCGCTGTTGGCGCTCGTCAGCGTGGAGTAGGCTGTAACCAAGCGACCAAAAAGATATCACGGAGCAAGCTAAATAAACGTTTAGTTTATTTTTGCTCCACTAGATGGCGCTCTGCCATCTAAAAAGCACATGTGCTCGTGGTCAGGAGATGCCTTCTTTATTTTCAATATCAACACCTGACCCACTTATCTTTCATTTTTTTCTATTGTTTTTTCATATATATACAGGGTGTACCAGGTAAATTGGGACTAACTTTGACAGTCCATAAAACAAAAACTACTTGAGATTAAAAACTTGTTTTTTTTCCATTAAGTAGCCATATTCATGTAAAATGCAATAGTACATGTGTGCGCAGTGTAGTGATGAAGAGTAACCGAGAATTTGAAAATCGAGCTTCCATCATCGTTGCTCTGCGCGCCGGAAGGAGCCCCAAAGAGATAGTGGATTTTCTTAAGTTGCCCAAAACCACTATTTATCGTGTCAAGAAGCAGTTTGATGAGGCCGACAGTAACAAAGAGGGGATAGCTACAAGGAAAAAGCACTCGCGTCGATCGGACAGGGTAAGAGGCGAAGAATTTGTCAAAAATGTCAAGGAGAAGATTGATGGAAACCCTGGGAAGAGCATGAGGGCCATAGCCAAGGAAATGGACGTTGGCTCTATGACAATTGTCAGAACTATCCATGAGGACCTTGGTCCCAAGTCTTATGCCCTTCGGAAAGGTCAGTTGCTGACTGAGAATATGAAGAATAACAGAAAAGGAAAGGCTGCTGCCCTCCTCAACAACCTGAAACACGACTCTTTTGGCATGCTAAGGTTCTTCTCTGACGAAAAGAACTTTGACGTGGACCAAAAGGTAAATCCCAGGAATGATCGCTGGATCTGTAAAGACCCCTCAGAGATACCTGTCGTGATGCACACGAAATTTCCTGACTCCGTAATGGTCCTTGGCGTTATCAGCAGTGAAGGTGATGTCATACCTCCCCATTTCTTTGAGAAGGGCCTTAGGATGAACGCTGACACCTACATCAATGTTATGGAAACCGTTGTGAAGCCTTGGATGGACATGGTGGCCGCAGGAAGGAAGTATGTCTTCCAACAGGACTCAGCTCCAGCCCATAAGGCAAAAAAGACACAATCGTGGCTGACACTTAACGTCCCTAGTCACTGGGGTCCTGATATTTGGCCCCCTAATTCTCCAGATTGCAATCCCCTCGACTACTATGTATGGGGCCTTGTTGAGAGAGATGTCAACAAAGCTCCTCATACCACCATCCAGTCTGTCAAGAAAGCAGTTCACACGGTGATGACCCAAATGGACAAGGTCATCGTCGCCAAGGCCTGTGCTTCATTCCGCACTCGCCTCGAGACTGTTGTAGCTAATAATGGAAACTACATTGAATAAATAAAAACTATATCCTTTTATCTACTACTGTGTCAAATTTCATTCGGATATTTTAATTTTTACTTACAAAAAAATTCAGTTAAAATACCATTGTTGAAATTCCCAATTTACCTGGTACACCCTGTATATATACGCAAATTTGGTCCTAAATACCCATTTCTTGATTTCTCAGGAAGCCTCTTAGACCAAAAATTTGCTGTAGAGTAACAGATTGCACAACACTGAAGAAACCTTTCCATTTTTAATTTGCCCATAAATATGGTCTATAGCTTTACTAGAAAATATATGGAAAATTTTGAAGATTCCATTTGATTCCTATGGGTCTTTTGATTTCCAAGCCTATCGTAGACTGACAAGGTCCATTAGCCTTATATTTTGGTCAACAGGTTGACGCCTTTCTGTTTGTCAAACAACTTACCAAATGTTTTAGTTTTTATTTGTTCCTGACGGAACAAAACATTCTTTTTTATTGGAGTATTAAGGATGTAAAATAGTTTCTCCCATAGAAGGGCTTACTAGCCCGAAAGCTCGAGATATTTTTAAATAAAAATATTTTTAAAGGAATTTTTTACCTGGGGGATTTATGTTTTCATTTTAAAACATTTTTTAAAACGTCGATATAATATAGAGATTTACTGACTTAAGTATCTTTAGGTTAGCTTTTCTTGATTAATTAAGAAATGGTATTTGGCCAATACTGGAATAACTAAAAATCAACGAGAATAGTTGATATTTATTCCGATAGATGGCGCAAGCCATCAGCAACTTTCAGTTGCACGATAAAGCGATGCCCTTTTTCTTAAGTATCTTTAGTTGTAAGAATTATGAATGCCGAACAGGAAAACTCTATCTTTATTATATTCATTAATTTCATTATCGATTTTGTCAAATATTTATTGTTTATTTATACTTTATTCTCTTTATTTTTAAAAATATTATAAAAAAGAGACACTTTCAGCAATAATATAATTAATATTACTTTCTCGAGAAAGATAAATTCTCTTTAGTCAATATGAAACTCAATACTTGGAGTAAATATTTAAAGATGAAAAAAACTAAATTTCTCTATTTCTTTCCCAAAATTAAAGGGAAAACGGTGTAGAAATATCTGGAATTTCTCCTATTTTCTGGTAGAAGGGCGATAAATTGAATTATTGTCGAGCTTTCCGCCTTTTCCAAACCCAGTTATATGTAAGGAAATAGGTACAAAATTGTAAAATATATAAGTGGTCATACGTATGGCAACATAATATAATATTTATTTTTATCATTTTATCTCTAAGACATTATATATAATACAATTATAAATATTAATAAAAATATTTTAACTGAAGTTGGAAGATATATTTGATATACCAATATATAAATATATATATATTTTTAAATAGATCAATCTATATTTAATTCATTAGATAATAAAAAAGGCATATATTGGATTTTATAAAAGATTTATATTGCCAATATTTGTATACAAAATTGTAATGCCTCGATAAAGGTTGGCGTTCAGCCAGCCGAAATATTGGCAAAATAAATATTTTATTAAATCCAATGAATGCATTTTTATTATCTAATATATATATATATTACTTTCTCGAGAAAGATAAATTCTCTATAGTCAATATGAAACTCAATACTTGGAGTAAATATTTAAAGATGAAAAAAACTAAATTTCTCAGTAAGTATATCAGGTTTCAGACAGTAACTCTGAAAGATACACTTATGGCAAAACTTAAGGAAGTTGTACCTTTCAGAAAGTATAACGGGATTCAGACAATAACTATGAAATAAACACTCATGGACAAAACTTAAGGAAGTTATATCTTTTAGCTGGATATTGGGATTCAGACAAGAACTATGAAAGATACACTCATGGACAAAACTTGAGGAAGTTGTATCCTTTAAATGTATATCGGGATTCAGACAATAACTCTGAAAGAGATACACTCATGGACAAAACTTAAGGAAGTTGTACCTTTCAGAAAGTATATCAGGATT